ATTTTTGAGAGAGAGAGAGAGAGAGAGAGAGAGAGAGACAGAGCACAAGTGGGGGAGGGGCAGAGATAGGGAGACACAGAATCTGAAACAGGCCCCAGGCTCTGGGCTGTCAGCACAGAGCCCTATGTGGGGTTCGAACTCAGGAATGGTGAGATCATGACCTGAGCTGAAGTTGGATGCTTAACCAACTGAGTCACCCAAGTGCCCCATGGAGGTTTTTGATTGAATAAAGACGTATTTGATTTGGAATTATGTCACTTGATCTTTTGTGAAATACTTTGTTTTCCTTTAAATGAATTGGCTTTGCTACCTTAAATTTATTGCTATTGTTATTATTACTATTATTGTTTTGGATAAGACTGTGTGTCAAACATTTTTTCTTTTTCTTTTCCAAATGTCATTTTTGTTTAGTTTTTAGTGGCCATTTTTGAGGGGTGGAGGAGGAAGTAAGCCACAGATTTTAATTGTGATGATTTTGAAACCCTGTCAAATTATTAGTTTAATACAATTATAGTATTAATTAGTAATCTGTTTAGACCATAGCTTTTCCAAACCTAGTTTTATTTACCTACTTTCTTGCTTTTGCACTTTTCTTTTTTAAAGTTTATTTATTTATTTTGAGAGAGAGCACAAGCTGGGGAGGGTCAGAGAGAGAGAGGGAGACACAGAATCCAAAGCAGGCTCCAGACTGAGCTGTCAGTGCAGAGCCCGATGTGGGGCTTGAACACACAAACCATAAGATCATGATGTGAGCCGAAGTTGGACACTTAACTGACTGAGCCACCCAGGCGCCCCTCTTGCTTTTGCACTTTGATATGTTAGCTGAGCAATAGCTGTGGCCTTGTATGATGTTTGTCAGATAGCAATTAAGTTAGCTAAGCATTGTTATTTTTAATCATGTTATTAAGATTCAGACAATAAAGCATTTGGTTGTCTGAGATAATTTTCTTTTAATGGCAAATTTGTGCTCTATCCCTTTTCCAGGTCATCCTGTTCAGTTCTACAGCATGAATAGACCTGCCTCTCGCCATACTCCCCCAACAATAGGGGGCTCGTTGCCCTATAGACGCCCTCCTTCCATAACTTCACAAACAAGCCTTCAGAATCAGATGAATGGAGGACCTTTTTATAGCCAGAATCCAGGTTAGATTTTCTTTTGCATTTTATAGAATATTTAAAATTTCAATTACAGAAGAAAAGACCTTTAATTACAAATGACTAGCGCATAATAGGTGTTTAGTACTATTTGTTCAATGAATGGAAGAATGACTACAAGGTTGCTAATACTATATCATCCATTTCTTTTTTTTTTTTTTAATCAGTACACGATTTCCATATAAAGTAGAACTTAATTTTTCCAAACAATCTTTTTGATTGTGCTGGTGATTATTTGCTTTTAAAAATAATACTGTGGTGAACAGTATTTCCTTCTTATTTTATCAGATATCCTTGCTCTACGAATACCAAATAATGAAAATTGACTGTATATGAACATAGTTTATAAGTGGCATAGTAAAGGAGAGATGATATTTTTGAAGCTGTTTTGTGCTAGGCAGTTATACTGTCGTATTCACGTCTCATACCAAACCTATGATGGGAAAGCTAGGACTTGGACAGATTGATCCAGATACTACAGTCAGTCTTTCATCATGCATCATGCATACAGAAAAAAATTAATCTGGCACATATTTAAAGTCGTGCAAACATTATTTTTGCTTCTTCCCCAGAGAAGGTAAAAGCAAATACTAGACACTGTGACTATTGTGGACATGGTATATCAACTTACTGCGTTTTTCTGGATTTTTGCCAAGAGGCCAGTAAGTCTGTATATGATCACCTTTAATATTAAGGGACAACCCATTCCATTTTTGATAAGCTCTGAAACCAGTTGACCATGGCTACCTTTTGGTGAAACCTCCTTATTCCTTGGGAGTTATGCAGAAGAAATTTGATCCTCTTTCTAGATAAATGCAGTTTACTTATTTATTTTTAATGTTTGTTTATTTTTGAGAGACAGAGAGAACACAAGCCAAGGAGGGATAGAGAGAGAGGGAGACACAGAACGCGAAGCAGGCTCCAGGCTCTGAGCTGTCAGCACAGAACCCAGTGAGGGGCTTAAACTCGCGAACCGTGAGATCACGACTGGAGCTGAAGTCAGACGCTTAACCTAAGACTGAGCCACCTAGGTGCCCCTTGATAAATGCAGTTTAGAGAATGCCTTTATATATTATCTCACTTGATTCCTCTAATCATGTGTTCATTTTCATCTGTATTTTATAGGTGAAGAAACTGAGGCTGAGGTGATGTCAGGTTAGGATTTGAACTTAGATCGTCTGCCTCTGAGTTCCATGTTCTTTCATACTATCCTACCTAACTTCGGACTTTAAAAAATCTTCCTCTTAATCTCATAGTCTCTTTTTGGGAGGTAGGGGGTTGGAGGTGAGGAGGATCCCACAATGTGATATAAAGTGCTTGAGAGCCTGAGACCTCGTCAGTCTTTTATACAGTTTTATCCTGGGAATAGTGCTCAGTAGCTGTTGGATGTAGAATGAATTCCTGTTCCTTTACTCAAATCCTTTGACTCTTTTGGGTCCCTCTTACAGATTAAACGCCATATTTACACTGTAGTGTGATGACCAACTGCCTGAGCTGAAATATGCTCTTGCTGCTGTCCTTGATTACACTTAACAATTTTTTGCTGTGCCATTCTTTTAAACTCATTTTGAGCTTAATTTTGACAAATCTGCCTATCTTTTTCATACATTCTGATTTTAAATCATGTGTTCCAAACTCATTTTTATACCTAAATGCAGTTTTTATTTTTACACTTTAGTTTGTTAGTAGATATGGCTTATTTCATAGTTGTGTTGAAGGTAAGGTCTCTCTCTGGCCCTCCTTGGAAGTCTAGACAAATACTGCTTATGGCCCATACACCCTTCCCTATGCTCAAGTAGAATTTTGGAAGAGTGGTGTCAGTCTAAAATGGCTGGTTCCCTAATGGAGCTGAGAGATACTTCACTGTTACAGTTGATGACCCATGTGTATATGATATTCAGGAAATAGGTACAAGGATATTTACTTCTTTTTGTGTACATATACACGTATAAAATATTGGTCTTATGAGAACTGTTGGTGGAATTTATTTGAAGGCTATTTGAGCACATACTTAAATGTGTTTTATGTACATATTTCAGTACTTTCTTTGTAAATCTGATTTTAACGAAAGTATGTGTTAAAGCAGAAAAATGCCCTACTCTCAGGAATAATTTTAATGAAAGTATTTTTCACACTCATGGGTATAAAACGAATTGAGATTCTTGAGCCTTCAGTATAATGTGTGAGACAATTCATTTATTTATTTTTTTTCTCCTGTATGCCTCTCTTTTAAGTTCTGCCTTTCATCTCTAGGGATTTGGTAACTGTTTAAAGAGGGTGACTGCAGCTTTGTTAGTTTATTAATCATGGTGCTTTTTTGAATTAAAATTTATTTTTACTAAATCATGTTCTTTGAAAAGCTTTTCTTTCTTTCTTTTTTTTTTTTTTTTTTTTTTTTTTTTTTTTTTGCAAGAATCAATACTTTGCAAACCAGTGTCCTAAGGCTACTAGGTGTTTCTTCTTTTTATTTGCTTTAGAAAATTACGTGTTTTGTATTATTCCCATGGGTCTTACCTTCATCCCTGTTTATTAATATTTAAAATGAAAAAACGTGTGTTGTGCTTTCTCAAGCAGCTAATTCCCTGATTTAACAAAAATGATCCCAGCTGTGTTTTTTATGAGCCTGTTTTTTTACAATCAGAGGCTTAAAATGGATGTGGACTTCTGAAGGGGTGAGCTGACAGGCTGGGATTCATGTGTCTCTAAATTCAATGTGATTTTCTGTGAGATGGAAATCTAGCAGCACTGTTACTGTAGTTGGTTTGAGTTGAAAAGGCAACCAAACATAGGAATTAAAATATGGAATTATGAGAACTGTTGGTGGAATTTATTTGAAGTGCCAAGTCCTAAGAGTACAATAATTGTTTTGTAATGATCCTAAGGGTACAGTAATTGTTTTCTAATGAGATTATTTCAGAAGCAATTTAATGAAAGGAACACTTTGATCAGGGCATAAATGAAATCCCTTTGGCTCTCATTGTTTCTTAAAAATGTAGTCAAAGAAATAGGAATACCAATGTATCATTCATCTTGTCAGCTGCAAAGAGAGTCACTGAAACAAATAGAGCTAACAAATTAACAGTTTTTATTTTAAATATCAATATGAAGCACTTTGGTGGTAAATAAGTATGTGTGTGTTTGTACATTTACATATACAAACCTCGTTTGGTAAGTGTCTTAGTTTAGGCTGCTATAACAGAGACTGGGTGGTTTATAAACAACAGAAATTTATTTCTCATAGTTTTGGAAACTGGAAGTCAGAGATCAGGGTGCTAACATGGTCAATTTCTCAAGTTCTCTTCTGGGTTGCACACTGCTATCTTCTTGTATCCTCACATGGTGGAAAAGAGAGGGAGTTCTCTAGGTCTCCTTTGTAAGGACACTAATTCCATTCATGAGGGCTCCACTCTCATGACCTAACTGCCTCCCAAAGTCCCACCTCCTAATACCATCACATTAGGATTTCAACCTATGAACTTAGGGGATACATAAATATTCAATCCATAACATTAAAGAATCAGTAATGTATTTAAGTACCAACACCTTTTTTAATAGATATCCTATATTATACTGCTTATATTTTCTTATAGCAAAGATTAAAAAAAATCTAATTCATAAAGTGGAATGTTGGTTGCAAGAAATGTGACTATATATAGTTTGTATGAGGAATTTGTGAATGAGTATTGTGTTTTACACAGGGAAAATGCCAGGTTTTAACCACTGAATGTTATTAAAAACAACTAAAAAGAAACAATGAAAAAATTATATTGGGTTGGTGATATTGCAGAAGAGAAATCAATAACATATATTCACTAAATGATACTTACCATAAATTTCCAGAAGAATGCAGATGTGGTAGAGCTTTAGCAGAGTATGAATAAAGAGCAGTAGCAAGAAGCTATTTTCAAATCCTTATTTTAGGCAGTCTTTACTGTTTGTTAGAGAATGCTTACTCTAAGAACGAAAAAGCAAGGGAACAACTGAACAGTGGTATGTATATTCTCAGATGACCAAGTAAGCCAGATAGGCCCTTTACACTGATTATTAATACAAGTTATGTTTTTAAACTGTTAGTTTGCTACTTTCATTTGGCATAACATCTTGTGACTCTTTTGGTTCAAAAGGAATAACAACAATGATCCAGTTCTTTTAACCCTTCTGAGACTACAGAATTGATAATTATTTGGTAACCATATACTCTTCCATCAAAAAAGCCTCCTTACTGAGTATCATTAAGTTCACTTTTAAATACTCCTTGCTATTCATGTTTAGAAAATATTTCACTTTTTAAAATGTTTACTTTTGAGAGAGAGAGCCAGAGAACGAGTGGGGGAGGGGCAGAGAGAGGGAGACGCAGAATCTGAAGCAGGCTCCAGGTTCTGAGCTGTCAGCACAGAGCCCAATACAGGGCTCAAATCCACAAACTGCAAGACCATGACCTGAGCTAAAATTGGACGCTTAACTGAGTGAGCCACCCAGGTGCTCAGAAAATATTTCACTCTTAAAATGAATTGTTTAAATCATTTCCCTCACTGCAATGTAAAATATAAGCAGCTAAACCTGAATGGGCTGTCAGATAAATACAACTTCTAAAGGTGGTATTCTTTAATGGTTTTAGTAGTAGTATTGAGGATGTTTGTTTTGTCTGCTTTTCTCAGAGTATTTATAAACCTGTAGAAATAAGATGTAAAATCCTAAGTGATTTTTCAAAACTTTTTTTTAATTTTTTAAAGTCCATTTATTTATTTTGAGAGAGAGAGAGAGAGAGAGAGAGAGAGCAAGCAGGGGAGGAGTAGAGAGAGTGGGAGAGAGAGAATCCCAAGCAGGCTCCACACTGTCAGTGCAGAGCCCAACGTGGGGCTGGAACTCAGGAACCATGAGATCATGACCTGAGCAGAAACCAAGAGTTGGATGCTTAACTGACTGAGCCACCAAGGTGCCCCTCAGAACTCTTTGAACTGGATGTTTTAAAACAATAAGCCTCAAAG